TTGAATAGTTTTGTTGTTGTTTTTTTGTATGAAATAGACCTAGTTCTTTAAACGAAGTTAAAACCAGAAGCAAGTGATGGCAAGTCACTGTCTTAAGCGAGTCATTGAGTCGTTTATTTAACAGATTTGTTCAAATGACTGATTCATTTATTCAGGAACAAAATTAAGTGACTGCATTTATGAACTGGTCATTGAATCATTGACTCACTAGATTCATTCAAAAACACAGATTTGTTCGGACTCTTCGGAGACATGCAACAGTTCGTCTGTGGCTTAGTTTGAAACTGTTTTCATTGATGAAAGACAATATTGGCAATATTGTGTCTAAAATGTATATCACCTAATATTAAACGAATATTTCACCCAAAATTAAAAAAAATTGTCATCATTTACTCACTCTCATGTCCTTCCAAACCTGTATAAGTCTCTTTCTTATGTTGAAGACAAAAGATGTTTTAAAGAATTGTTGTTGGTCCCCATTGACTTCCATAGTAAGGAAAGAAATGCTATGGAAGTCAATGGGGACCATCAACTGTTTGATTACCAGCATTCTTCAGAATATCTTCTTTTGTGTTTAACATAAGAAAAAAACTCATATAGGTTTGGTTCAACGACAGAGTGAGTAAATGCTGACAAAATTTCAATTTTTGGGTGAACTATTCTTTAACTTGTTTATTCAGCTGTTGGATAAAATCAGTCACATTTGCAGTGATGCTGATATTGGGAAAACGGCACTCTTGCATGTGATATTGCTTAACTATATCATATTATATAAATAAAGACAGAAGCTGGGTATTTCTTGCCTCCATATCTTGAATTTTGGGGGCGTTCTAATAGGTTACATAACAAAATACAAGCATGCATTCTCAAGACATACTCAATGTCGGCTCGCACACCGTTAAAACAATAATATTATAGTAGATGATACGTATGGCACACTCCTAAAGGGGAGTGTAAATGAGGGAACAGAAATTAGGCCACGAGTCAATATCATGTTCTCTTTCACCTCTATTCATCCTTCTGTGCTGAGATAAACACTCTCTCTCTCTCCTCTTCCTTCTCTCTCCATCTAGTCTCCAGATAAACACAGAGCTCTAGAAGAAACCAAAAGCTACACCACTCAGTCTTTGGCCAGCGTAGCGTATCTGATCAACACTCTCGCCAACAATGTGCTTCAGATGCTGGATATACAGGCGTCTCAGCTACGCCGCATGGAGTCGTCCATCAACCACATCTCACAGGTGCTTTTTACTGCTATAACAAACATCTAGTAGTGTGGATACATTGTACATTGCAATTTTGCTTCTTTCACTTACATTTCTAAGGCAAGCATCACTATTAATATTGTTCATACTTAAAGTAAAAGGTTAACTCAAATCAATAACCCTAAGTACTAAACTTTGACACATAGCGCTACTTTTATATTAATCAAATTAGATTTGATATTTTATGGTTGAACTCCCTTCTACAGACTGCTTGCACGATTCATGTCCTACTTTTAGACTCTTCTTGACTTTCAAACCTGTATTTTGATGTGTTTCTGTGTACATTTCTGCATACATCGAATCACATTTCATCATTCCTCCACAGACGGTGGACATCCATAAAGAGAAGGTGGCCAGGCGAGAAATTGGCATCCTCACCACCAATAAGAACACTTCCCGCACACATAAGATCATTGCACCAGCCAATCCTGAGAGGCCTGTACGCTACATCCGCAAGCCCATTGACTTCAGTCTGCTGGATGACGTAGGCCATGGCGTAAAGGTAGGGTTGAAGCCAGTCTGTGTGTGTGTTTGTGTAGTTTACTTCTCAAAAGTACACAATTACATTTGTAAGAGCACTGAATAGGGTGGAATTATTAACTGGTATTAAAATAGTATTACTTAAGGTGTGATCACGTTAGCAACATTTCGTGGACAGAAAAGGTCCATTGTAGTGTAGTGATGTATGAAGTAGAGCTCACACAGAAGTCACTTTCAAACCAAGCAGTTTTCTGATGGTCAACGAATTTGTGTGACCAACCAATGCTAAACCTGCGTGGGAAAGTTTTTCACCATCACATGAAATTCCCAAATTTCTGTTGAAATGACTGTTTTGACCATGAAAATTCACCAGAAAACAGTAGGTTTGACCACACCTTTAGAGGCTTGCGTATTTGTAATACTGATTTGCTGTAATTTTTGTTTGTTGGGGAGAGGTATACTAAAATAGTTTGGTGTACAGAAAAACTTCTAATAAATAACATACAAAGTCTTGATATTATCTGCTTCAAATATCGACAAGAGCTATAATTTTATGTGTTACGTAAAGCAATTATTATTGATTAAAATTATGTGTTTGTAAAATGCAAAATGAGTAAATTAAAAAATGAAGTAAATTCATATAAAATATATAATTTTGTTCTTTCTGATTTGGGAGCAGCCATGTTAAGATCACATGACCAGATAAATGCTACTCACTTTATTTCAGTTATTGTACACTTTGCCTTGTTAAATTAATCATGGCTGACTGAATAGCTTTTGCGCTGTTTTAACAGACTTAAAATGTCTGATTTAACATTGCTGCTATATCAGTCTGCACAACATAAACAAAAAATACTGTGCACCTTTTAATAATGGTAATATTGCCAAATACTGTGCATTACTAGTTTATACTAGTTTATATGAATGTATTTTGCTTTGGATCATTTGGACTGTGCTACCTAACTAGCTGCTCTTTGTGTGTTTTCATGTGTGTGAGTTTCTATTTACTCTTCACACTAACGGTTTGCATCTTTTCTCTCCTCACTTTTCTTATTGCCTTCATTTCTGAGTGTAGTGGTTACTAAGGTTTAAGGTAAGGATTCAGTCAGGCTTTGGTTGATGTGTGTTTTGTGTATGTGTTCCAATGTCAGTGACTTTACATTTGTTCTGACTCAGAATAATGATATTTGACACTTGCCCTTCAGGTCAACGCCCAGAATATGAAAGCGGGTACAACTCCACGCACAGCCGCCCCGACCCAGAAACCACCCAGCCCTCCCGGCCCGGGCAAAGGAACCCTGGGGTAAGTTAGTGCACATTTGCACAGGCTCTGGTTTTTAACTTTTGTCTTGATGGCGTTTATAGAATGAAAGTAATAAGGAAAAATTAGGAAATACCAGTAAAAAAATTTTTTCGAGACCTAAACTTCATAGATGTGTACAGATGTAGTTTAATTGAAATATTCTGTCAGACTGCCATCTGGACTGGAGGTAAAACTCGCTGCGGTACATTAATGTTAAATAAAAAAGCTTATGTTTTTCTAACTGTTTTTCTGTACAGAGATGTTTGGGAGGTCTTGATTTTTATAGAAAGAACAGAAGTGGTTTTTAAAAGGGGTCATATCATGATGAATAAAACTTTCCTCGATCTTTCCTAGATTAATAGAGCTCATTGTACTATGAAAACATTCTGTAACTTTCAGAACTCAATATTTATGGCACATTCCACAAAGATCACTTGTTGAAACGAACACAGTGTCCTAACCAGATGTGATGCAATATGATTTCACTGACAATGGTAGTATTTCTTCCCTCATTAAAAAGTTTTACACAAAAAAATAAACAAAATTAATAGTCTTATTGGTAGCCTAATAAAATATATATTTTTTAATACAAAGAGCAGGTTGCCTAATTGGACCAGTCAAAGTGCTACTCACTTTATCTTAAAGGGGACATAACACACAGTTTCACTCAATCTCATGTTAATCTTGAGCAGTGTTGGGCAGTAACGCATTACTTAGTAATGCGTTACTGTAATTTGATTACTTTTTTAGTAACGGAGTAATTTAACGCGTTATAATTTTCAAAATAGTAATTAGAGTATAGTTACAAGCCGAGGTCTCTATACGTTACTGCCGCGTTACATTGCTGACAGAATGCAGTGTTTTATAATCTGGAGATTGTAAAAAGGATGTAGCACACGCATTGTCGAGTCAAGTGCCAGTGGATTAGAGACCTGCTCTCCTGCGAGACCCGACGCAACAGAGTGCGGCACGGGACAAGACTTGATAGGCGAGTGCAGAGACTTGTGTGTATGCGCGGGATGCGGGAGAATAAAATGATTCACGGGACTCCCGCAAAATAGAAATATCTAAACATAAAATATCTAAAACAAATAAATTGTTATTCATCTATTGCACAAAAGCTACTTGAACTAATATAAAATATAAACGATTAACAGGTGTAAGCGTATGCAGACTTTCTATTTAGGCTATAACGTGTTTGCAGCGTTGAGCAATGCAGTGCTGAAATCTGCGTGCTCACGAATCCTCTCATTATAACACACGAATTGTATACATTATGAAAGATTCATTATGCATATATTTATTGTGTTATAACAGAGATTTGTGAGATTGCGATGAACTAAGATGTCTTTTAGAGATTATAAATGCTGGCATTCTGCCATGCCAAACCATGCACGCAGCAGCCGCCTGCTTTAGTTAAAAATAACACTGTTCTGTGAATGTTGATGCTTTAATAACAAATATTTATCGGGTTTAAATTCTGAATACCTATAGAGTAGTATTGCATCCATGCATATTTTTAAAGGGTCTTTAGTTTTATCATATTATAAAAGAAAGATACAGCTTTACAATCCTCAATGAAAACAGCCGAGCTCCTGGAGGCATGCCGTGGGCAGAGTTAAAGGGGTTATATGATGCTGCTAAAAAGAACATTATTTTGTGTATTTGGTGTAATGAAATGTGTT